ATTTTCAGATAAAATAATTTCATCTAAAATAAATTTTAATTCTTTATTTTCTTTAATTCGTTGTCCATTCTCTAAAATACTCCAAAAAACCGTATTTGCATATAATAATTGATCATTTTCATCAACTTCTTCAATTTAAAAATAATTTTCTAAACAAGGTAATAATTCCATTAAACGTATTTAAATTTAATTTTTAATTTAATTTTATGTTCTTTCAATTTATCTTCTTTAATCAAATGCATCTTAACTAATAATTTAAATTGTTTAATTATCATTATTAATTAATTAATTCATAGAATCTCTAACATTTTTAACAGTTTCAAATCTATGATTTCCTACATTTCCTTCAAAAGGTGTTGTTATTGAATTTATAAATAATATTTTTGGATTTGGCATTTAATCATAAATATTATTAATTTTATTTAATCCTTTTTATAATTAATCTTAAATTTAATTTCCTAAATCATAACTAGTATTAACTAAAAAACATTTTCTTATATATTGTCTTCCAAATAATTCAGCTAAATGAAAAATAATTTGTTTTTCTTAATTATTTAAATCTTAATTTCTAAATCTTCTACAAATAAATATACAATGAATTTAAATATTATTATTTTTAAGATGTTCATATGTCTATAATAAAATCTTATAATTCTCTTATTCATTTTATCCATATCCTTGTACTTCTAAAAATTTAAATTAAATATTTTAATAATCTAAATCACATTCTTATATATTTCCATTAAAATCATATTCAGAAATATGATATCTATATTTATCTGGATAATCAATAAGAAGTGAATTTCCAATTGCATTAATAAAAGTTGATTTTCCAGATCTTTGTTCTCCAATCACTAAAACATTTTTTCCTTATTGTAATCTATTTTAATATTCAAATCGAAATGTATATCCATTATCTCCATATGGAAGTTCAGAAAATGATTGTTTACTTTATTTTTATCTATAATTATAGACTAATTAAAATTATTCAGCTTCAACTTCAGACATTATCTATCTTTAAGCATTTAAATTATTAGCCAACTAATCAATACTCAATATCCCTCTTTTTATTAAGTAATTTTTGTTAATCGTATATTATTATCTTAGTTACTAAGGATTCTATGTAATTACCATAAATTGCTTAATATTTTTATTTTATCCTTCATCTTAATATTGACATAAGAATCCAATAAGATCAAGTTCAGGTTTTCTAGATGGACAAATACACATTAAATAAATTATTGAATTGATTATAAACTTAGATTTAGATAAAAATTATAAACATAAATACTCATTAAAAATAAACTCTATCTGATTAAATAATAATTAATCCAAACATAATATATATTAAATTAATATGCAACATTTGTTTATTAAAATATGACTATATTTTTTATATTTAAGCTTCCAATTATATTTAATTCCAGATACAATAAATGCAATTAATTTTATGTTTTTTCAAAATTTTATTTTTCTCAAAACCTAATAAATGTATTTAAAAAGATTTTTACTAATTAGCAATCTTAGTAATGTTTAATGTTCAATATAGTTAAATAATCTCAAACTCTTAATGTTTAATGGAGTTTTATCCACTATGTTATCCATTCAATATTTTTCTAATTTGAATAGGGTTCTTCATTATTAACTCTAATCTAGAATAATTATTCCATAGAGTAACCAAAATTATGAGAAGTGGATCAATCTATATATCTCTCTAATTTATCATGAAGTGGGGTGTAGCTCCAGGGAATAAATAAAATTTTTTGATTACTAATTTTAATTATTCAATAATATCAATATCTTTAATGATAACTAGATAATGATCCTTAACCTCTGTTAAATATTTTAACTCTCAATATATCAGTATGGATGTGTTGTTAAGGTTATTTTATATAGAGTATTATCATATTGGATTCTTAAAAATAAATTTAATCTTCAATATATATGTCATCTGTTATTGTTATTAAGCTTATCTAATTACATTATCCATTTCTTCTATTAATTATTGCTTACTTACTAGTTTTAGAAGCTTTTTAATACTTTGATGTATCCCTATACCATCATTATTTTTTGTCATTCATTTGTTCTGTAATAACCTATAATCCATTACTCTAAGTTTCATCTCAATCTCATTAAGATTTCAGGATTTGTATGTTTTACTCCCTTTCCATATCAAGCTGCCGCATAATGATCTAATTTATAATTCCATGTCTTATTCTTAAATATGAAGGATTACATGTAAGATGTAAAATTTTCCATCCTCTATATTACCAAGAGAATACACAGTTTATAAGCATTTACTATCTACCAAGGTTATTCTTGTTATTTTGATAATTTCTTGCTAGAATTAATCATTTTTATTGGTTAGGATGTCCTTTTATATTTGGATATTGAATTGATCTTAATTTATTTTTGAATTGAGTTCTTTCTCTTCTATAGATGAGATATTTTTATGGAATATGACCTAAATCTTATCTTATTAGATTAATATTTTATCGATCAATTTAATAATTATAATCTCCTAACATCTAATAAATTTCTTTTCTAAAACATACTACTTTATGTGGTATTTACATTAAATTTCTAAATTCTATCATTATATGATGTGTAAGTCCTTCTTCTTCATCTAATATTATAGGGATATTGATGGTAAGATCATATCTCCTTCAAATTTATTTTATATTTTTCAATTAATTAATATATTCTGTTAGATTCTGATTAAAGATTTATTTTAAATCATTTTTATTTTGTGTATATTTACTCTATCTTCTTTCATTATTTCTTTATTCCATAATGGCTTGATTTTTCTTGAGGTAAATCTATCTGTATAGATTAAATAACGAATGTGAAAGGTTCTAATATCCTTCTGTAAGTGATACTTTTTTTATTTTGACTCCATTGCGACTCTTAGACCTTCCTGGAATGATATTTCATTATATTTTTATTTATATTTTTATTTATATTTTTATTTATATTTTTATTTATATTTTTATTTATATTTTTAAGATTAATTATTGTTTTTGAAATTGTAGATTATACTTCATTTTAATCAATTAAAAAAATATATTATTTATACTTTTAGCAATAAACTTTAATTTGAATATCAATTCTAAATTATAAGTTGCAGATAAGTATGTTTAGCTGATACCATAATATTGATTGAGTTTGATAATAAAAATGTAAGTTTGTTTATTATGTAAAACAAATAACAATGAAATATGACTTATATTATGGATAAACGATAAAATCTAAACAAAATTATGAGATCTAATCTAGCAATAACGCTGTTTTGTGAAACAACTTTTTTTTAATTCTAACAACTGCTAAGACATCATTTTTAAAATTATATTAGGAGCTAAATTACAAAATAATTTGAAAGTTTATTG